GAACTTCTACCTGAAGACATAAGACCTAAAAAGGACTCCGAGATCCTAAACCCTAGCCAGCCTAATCGAAATGAAATTCCCAGGTCTGGTAGCGCCAGGATTCAGGTTTTCACTGGTTTTGTGCGTTTGCCGACGAAGGACTTGTGCCTTGCCGGACGAAGGACTTGTGCCTTGCCGACGAAGGGGCTGAACATGTAGTTAAATGTTTGGGACCTTCGTCGGCAAGGCACAAGTCCTTCGTCGGCAAGGCACAAGTCCTTCGTCGGCAAAGGCACAAAACCAGTGAAAAACTGAACCCTGGAGCAACCAGACCAGTGAAAAACCTGAACCCTAGCCCTGCGACGAGCAAATGTGCCTTGCCGACGAAGGACTTGTGCCTTGCCGACGAAGGGGTTTAACATTTAAATATATATATATATATATATAGTAGGAGAGGTTTAGGGTTTTAGGGTTTAGGGTTTAGGGTTTAGGGTTTAGGGTTTGGGGTTTAGGGTTTAGGGTTTAGGGTTTAGGGTTTAGGGTTATAATTGATTAAAAAACTGATTAATAATTAATTGATGTTTGATTTATTAATAACTAATTGTTAATTGAATCAATTATTCAATAGTAGTAGTCGTAGTAGTAGTAGTAGTAGTAGTAGTAGTAGTAGTAGTAGTCGTCGTCGTCGTCGTAGTAGTAGTCGTAGTAGTAGTCGTCGTCGTAGTAGTCGTCGTCGTCGTAGTAGTAGTAGTAGTAGTAGTAGTAGTAGTAGTAGTAGTAGTAGTAGTAGTAGTAGTAGTAGTAGTAGTAGTAGTAGTAGTAGTAGTAGTAGTAGTAGTAGTAGTAGTAGTAGTAGTAGTAGTAGTACCAGTAGCAAGGATAAGTTCAAAAAAATCTTTAAAAAAAAATAGGCCTCCTTTAGGGCCGGAGAATTTAGGGTTTAGGGTTTAGGGTTTAGGGTTTAGGGTTTAGGGTTTAGGGTTTAGGGTTTGGGGGTTTAGGGTTTAGGGTTTAGGGTTTAGGGTTTAGGGTTTAGGGTTTAGGGTTTAGGGTTTAGGGTTTAGGGATTAGGGTTGTTGGGGTTGCTAGGGTTGTTAGGCTTGTTAGGGTTTAGGGTTTGGGGTTTGGGGTTTAGGGTTTAGGGTTTAGGGTTTAGGGTTTAGGGTTTAGGGTTTAGGGTTTAGGGTTTAGGGTTTAGGGACTTGCTCAAGTCGCACTGCAGCCGCGTCGAGGGCGGCCTCCCGAAACCCACAAAGGGTTGGGGCTTGAAGGGATCAAGGGTTCGGATTTGGGGTTCAGGGTTCAGGGTTTGGGTTTAGGGTTTAGGATTTGGGGTTTAGAGCTTCGGGTCTAGGGCTTCGGGTCTAGGGCTCAGGGTCTCGGAAATGTTGAGGCGTCCTGGGGCCACATTTAAGGCACAGGGGGGCTGCAGATCTTCAAGGGACTCTGGGAGGTGCTTCCAAAAAAAAGCCCCTAGCCTTCGGGCTTGAGGTTCGAGGGGCCCCACAACCCTAACGTCTAAGCCCTAACACTTCCAATGTTGCTGAGCCCTGAATTTGGTGGGTTTAGGGTTTAGGGTTTAGGGTTTAGGGTTTAGGGTTTAGGGTTTAGGGTTTAGGGTTTAGGGTTTAGGGTTTAGGGTTTAGGGTGTAGCACGGGTCAGCTGAACGCAATAGTGTGAAGACATGCCCACCCCAAGGCCACCCAATCACAACTCATTACGAACCAAACCAGAGCCAGCCCAAGCCAAGCCAACCATTCACAACTCAAACATCGAACAGTTCAGAGGAAAGACTGAGAGTGCTTGGGACATTTGCGATTGGCTAAGGACCCCCCCCCCTAGGTTTTTGCGTAGGGGACGGTCTGGGCCGAAGGGCCCTCTCATAGCAAATATCAGGGCATGAACGCTGGGTCACCTGGGACCAGAAGGTTTATGCGAAGGGGGGTCTGGGCCGAAGGACCCTCGCAATTGCCGATTGGGGATCACTTGGGAGGCCATAAGCCTAAGGATCCCCTTTTAGGTTTTTGCGAAGGGGACGGTCTGGGCCGAAGGGCCTTCTCATAGAAAAACTCAAGCGTGAGTAGGTTGCAGCCTGGGGCCATAAGGCAAAGGAGGCGTGAATAGGTTGCGGCCTGGGGCTTATTTGGGGCCAAGACAAAGGACGGGCCAGCAAGGGCCTCCAAAGGGTTGAAGGGCCTCTCCAGGAACCTCAACGTGCTTGCAGAGGCCTTCAGGGGCCTCCACGACCCTTCACGGTTTCCGGGGCCTTCCAGGGGCCCAGGGCCTCCAGCGGCCTCCAGGCGCCCCTGCAAACCTTTTTCAGGAACCGGCGCCTCGACCTCCAAGGGTCCCCACAAGCTCCAGGTCCTCCGAGAGCCTCCGTAGGGGGCCTGCAGGGGCCTTCAGGGGCCTCCAAAGGGGCCTCCAGGTTGCAGGGGCCCCAGGGGTTGGCAGGGGGTCTCCAGGTGCCCTCAGCGGACCTCCAAGCCCTGCAGGGCCTCCAGGGGCCTCCAGGGGCATCCAGGGGCCTCCAGAGGCCTCCACGACCCTCCAAGGGCCTCCAGGGGCCTCCAGGGGCCGCCAGTTTTAAAGGCAAAGGATCCCCCCCCAAGGGTTTTAGGGAAATACAATATATCTGTGACCATGCTAGGCGACTCTAGCTAGGCGACCCTCTCAGGGGTGTGCCTGGCAGGCTCTGCAGCCCAGCAGAGCCTGCCGTGGTCTCGCCTGCGCCCGCCTACCCCAACAGAGGTGAGAGGGGTGGCGGGCGGGTTTAGGGTTTAGGGTTTAGGGTTTAGGGTTTAGGGTTTAGGGTTTAGGGTTTAGGGTTTAGGGTTTAGGATCACCACGACGGCAAGAGCCGAAAGGGGGGGGGGGGGCTTAGGGGTTTAGGGCTTAGGGGTTAGAGTTTGGGGCTAACACACTCTGAACCGGGGTTGACACACGACTTAATTATATAAAGCGACCTCAAAGTAGAGCGCGTGGAATGGCCTTGATCAACACCTCTAATGTCTTCTTGATTACGTATGGAAGTACTTAATCCCTCAACCTTAAGCCCTAAAACTAAACCCTAAACCTTACGCCGGCGCAGAACCCCAAACAGCGGGTGGAACACGAGACTCTCGACTGGGTCTATGCGGTTGGCGGCTGCTCCAAGTCCCTTTTGTAGACCTTCTGTGAAATCTAAGGAATACCCCCAATGGACCCTTGCAAAGATTTCGCATGAGCTATATATAATACCCCGAAACCCTAAACCCTAAACCCTAAACCCTCAACCCTAAACCCTAAACCCTAAACCCTCAACCCTAAACCCTAAACCCTAACCCCTAAACCCTTCCTACAAACTCGACCCGCTCTTCCGGAGCCTGCTGGAATATGCCATCCGTTTTGCGGTGGACAATGGCGAGGGTTGGCCGCTCTTCGCCCTCGCCGCCTACGAGACTTAGGGCTCATTTAGGGTGTAGGGTTTAGGGTTTAGGGTTTCGGGTTTAGGGTTTAGGGTTTAGGGTTTAGGGTTTAGGGTTTAGGGTTCGGGTTTAGGGTTTAGGGTTTAGGGTTTAGGGTTTTGGGTTTAGGGTTTAGGGTTTAGGGTTTGGCTTGGGGCTTGGGGTTTGGGGTTTGGGGTTTGGGGTTTGGGGTTTTGGGGTTTGGGGTTTAACCGGCACCGGCCAAGAGCCCAGCCAACGTGCGAATCTGAAGCCATGCGGAAGGAAAGCTTCCAAGCTCAAAGGCCGGGTTTGGGGGTTGTTTGGGGTTCGGGGTTTGTACGCCCTAAACCCTAAACCCTAAACCCTAAACGGAAAACCCTAAACCAGCAACCCTAAACCCTAAGCTCAAGAGCCGGGTTTGGGGACCGGACTGTCCAGGAGATGGTACTCGACCGGCTCGGCCATGGCAGCGTGAGTTGCAAGGGTATAGGGAGCCCAAGACATAAACCCTACTCCCCTAGTAAGGGTTTCGTAGGCTTGGGTATCTTCTAGGCTTTTCGGTTCATGGTTCAGTGGAGCTTGAAACTTAGGGTCTAGGGTTCGATGGAGCTCGAGAGGAGATTGAGGGCTCAGGGAAACCCTAAAAGCTCTAAACCCTACGCTTTAAAACCCCCGAACCCTAAAACCCCTAAGCCTGCCCTAAACCCTAAACCCTATAAACCCTATAAACCCTATAAACCCCTATAAACCCTATAGACCCTATAGACCCTATAAACCCTTAAACCCGTAACCCTAAACCCCAACCCCGAAGGCCACGGAACAGCCACGTTGACTGAGCCTGGGGGCCTGCAAGGGGCATGTTTGCTTCAGGTTGTGGGCCTAAGGAGCCCCCTGCTACAACGGCTCCGGTTTTAGGGTTTAGGGTGTAGGGTTTAGGGTTTAGGGTGTAGGGTTTAGGGTTTAGGGTGTAGGGTTTAGGGTTTAGGGCTTAGGGTTTAGGATTTAGGGCTTAGGGTTTAAGATTTGTTTAAGGTTTTGCCTCGGACCTTATGTCTTGAAGCCGGAACTCGAAACCTGAAACGACAAACCCTAAGCTTCAAAAGCGTAAAGCAACAAAGCCATAAACCCTAAACCCTCTACCCTAAAGCATAAACGCTAAAGCCCTAAAGCCCTGAACCCTAAACCCTAAACCCTCAGCTGTTTGGGTAGGGCTTTGGGTTTTGGGTTTTGGGTTTTGGGCTTTGGGTTTTGGGTTTTGGGTTTTGGGTTTTGGGTTTTGAGTTTTGGGGTAGACACGCCCAAGCCCTGAAGCCCTGGATAGCTAGGGTGCTAGATTGGGACTCCCAAACCCTACACCCCTAATGCCTTTCGAGACCCCAAGACCCTTGTACCAGTGCCCCAAGACCCGAAGACCCGAAAACCCTCAAACCCTAAACCCTCAAACCCTAAACCCTAAACCCTAAACCCTAAACCCTAAACCCTAAACCCTAAACCCTAAACTCCAAGCCATGCAGGGATCCCCTTCGGTCCGGCAGCTTTTCCCCGCATGCGCGCGCGCTCGCGCGCGCATCTCCCCCCTGCGTCGGCCTTGCCTACGGCTTGGGGCAGTTCACCTTGCAGGCGCGCGGTGGACACCAGGACCGACTCCTGACCCCTAGAAACCCGAAAAGCCCCTAAAATCAGAATTGGGATGTTCCCCCTAACACTAACAGTCCTGAATAGGGATCCTTTGTTGGGTTTCCGAAGATGCGACGACCCTTCCTTCAACCCCTACAACCCTGAATCCCCCATGACAGAGGCACCACAGCGGGACTATAGGGGGGGGGGGTGGACCGTCGGAGCAGGGGAGGGAGGGGGGGGGAAGGGCTGGGAATGCCCCCACATCTCCTCTACCTAGTTGGGGGCGCAAGTGCCCTTTCGGCCCTGGAGCCTTTGCAGACCTAGACCCCTTCAACCCTAAACCCTTAATCCTAAACCCTTAATCCTAAACCCTAAACCCTACACCCTAAACCCTAAACCCGAAACCCTAAACCAAGAGCCCTAAACCCCTTCAACCCTCTAGAAACCCCCGGGACGAAGCCCCCAGGCTCGAAAAAATAGACCCTTCGGTCAAAAAGTTCTAAGCCCGAAAAACCGACGCACCAAAGCTACGCCCCAATGTATTCGGCTTGGAGAGAGCCCCACACAGATTGAAAATCGCGGGTTCGGGGTCGAGCGTTTAGGATCCATAGGCTTGGCTGGCTTCAGTTTGGCTTTTCAGGAGTCTGGGGGGATCCATACCGTGAGATACAGGAATACTCCAGCCCCCAAACCCTACCCTAAACCCTAAACCCTAAACCCCATAGGCAAGGGGAAGCTTGGGCATATGGGATAAGGCAACAACTCAACTCCTGAGCTCTACGAGCGCCCGCCTCCCTTCCCAAAAAAAAGCCTAAACCCCAAACCCCAAACCCCAAACCCCAAACCCCAAACCCTAAACCCCAAACCCTAAACCCTAAAGCCTGGCGGCCTTGGAGAGACATTGGTTGTTGGTCTTCCACTCGCACTGCACGTAGATACCGTGATGCTTCATGTAGCTGTTGTTGCAGGTGTCCTAGCGTCTGTCGAGCTTCCCGGCGGGGGGTTTAGGGGTTTAGGGGTTTAGGGGTTTAGGGGTTTAGGGGTTTAGGGGTTTAGGGGTTTAGGGTTTAGGGTTTAGGGTTTAGGGCTCGTGAATCCTCGGAGTTTCGGGCCTTTTTTGGGACTGCCATGTGTTTCCGACGGAAGGGGCTCAACTTGAATGGATGGCGCGTAGACGCGGCCGCGGGTGCGGGCAACCGGGGTCTCTTGTGATGTGCGGGCGGAAGGACAGGGAATCCATACCGGGGGGCATCCGGCCAAGTCGGACAAATTCTGTTCAAAGGCGAAATTAGCGGAGGAAAATTCGCAAAGAAGGAGAGCAGAGAAGATGGGTATAGAGAGGAGGGAAAGCATAAGAGAAGAATGAAGAAGGGAGAGATATAAACAAAATGGCCGAAGACAAAGGAACGAGAGTAGGAAAAGCTCCTAAACAGAAAGCTTTCCATACCCTCCCTAGCCGCTAGAAACTTGACTCTGGCGGATGATCTCCGCAGGAACCCTTCGGGAAAAACTCCCCTCCACAAGCAGCGGGCAACCGTTTTGGGGCATAAGCTTTAGGATGTTTAGGGTTTAAGGACTTTAGGGTTTAAGGCTGAGAGTTTAGGGTCGAGGTTCCAGGTTGAGTCCTGACAAGGTGTGGAGTTGCTTTGGGTAAAGCCTCGCCTAAAGCCCTGGCTATGTTAGAGAAGCTCGGCTTCCAGTGGGCTTTTCGGGCTCATGGTTCAGGTCTGTTCCCTCTTGTGTACTAGTAACACCACGGCAGTAGAGTCATAGGGGTTTAGGGTTTGGGGTTTGGGGTTTGGGGTTTCGGGTTTAGGGTTGAGGGTTTAGGGTTTAGGGTTTAGGGCTTAGGGTTTAGGGTTTAGGGTTCGAACCTCAGGGTGAATGGAAACCGCCTCAATACTCAGAGCGCAAACCAAACGTAGCCTACGCCGAGCCCGAAAGCCTGAAGCCCTGCAGCCTGAAACTCGAACCCCTAGTTCCTACTCTGAAACAATACTTTCTAAATAAATATATGTCTACAATATATAAGTTATACATGACATATTGCATACGATATATTGTTAGTTTTTATGTGCATGTATGTGTATACATACATATACATATCCTTTTCTACGTAAGGCTTCAAGCGCTGCAGTCCTCGCTATTGATCTCATCGCAGTCGCCGTTTGTCTTGCTGCCGCTGCAGGTTGCCTCACGGTTGCAGCCGAGGGCTTCTTGTGGATCAGGCTTTTCTGGAAGAGACCGGGCCACTCACCGCCGACCCCAACCCGAAACCCTAAACCCTAAACCCTAAACCCTAAACCCTGAACCCTGAACCCTAAACCCTGAACCCTAAGATGAATCCTGGCCTCACACCCGTTGGACACAACTCCTCCCACCATGAGAGCGGTCGTCTGGATGTCGTAGGAGCTTCCATCAGCGAAGAACCGCTTCCAGACGTTGAGGGCGTGGTTGTCACTTCGCTTGAAGTTCCTTGGCTGACTTCTGAACCCCTCCCAAAAGTTTAGCTTTTAGGCTCCTTATTGTAGTTTCCACAAAAGCCCAAAAGGGTAAAGTCCTAATGAGCCAGCCAGAAGAAAGCCTAAACCCTAAACCCCTAAACCCCTAAACCCTAAACCCTAAACCCTAAACCCTGAACCCCAGAAGAAAGCCGAGGTTCGGTGCATGTACTTGCTCCCAGCCGTCGCCGCCAAGAGCGGCGTCCACGCCGGCATTGTAGCTGTTCTTCATGACCCACACCTGGGTTTAGGGTTTAAGGGTTCAGGGTTTAGGGTTTAGGGTTTAGGGTTTAGGGTTTAGGGTTTAGGGTTTAGGGTTTAGGGTTTAGGGTTTAGGGTTTGGGGTTCTTGTTGGGAACTTGAAAGCTAAGTTGCCATGATACGGGTTTATAGTAAATACGAGGGTTTCCTTGTGGTCAACTAGCCTAAGTCCCCTCAAAGAACCCAGACACGTAGAGAGTGACGGGCGCGGTGTATTCGATCTTCCATGTCCCGGCAGAGGGCCAGGTTTTGGTGCCAAAGTACCTGCCACCCCGTGAACCCTAAACCCTAAACCCTAAACCCTAAACCCTAAACCCTAAACCCTAAACCCTAAACCCAGGTTTTGGTGCCCAAGTACGTGCCGCCGATCAAGTCCGACGGGACGTTTTGCAGCTTGTAATCACCTGAGTCGCTGTTACAAGGAGAACGTGACTTCTTGAGGAAGGGTTTGGGGTTCGGGGTTTTAGGGTTTAGGGTTTAGGGTTTAGGGTTGAGGGTTGAGGGTTGAGGGTTGAGGGTTTAGGGTTTAGGGTTTAGGGTTTAGGGTTTAGGGATTAGGTTCCTAGTCAGGACCCAGTCACGCTCGCCTGGGTTCGCCAAGAGTCCTTCCGCCATCGTGGCCGCGGCATTCCAGCCGATGCCCAACCCGGAGGAACCAGTGACCGAACCGCACGTGCCGCCCTTCTTCTTCGCGGCCTCTCCCCAAAGAGCCCAATATCCCTGAATTAGGGAAGATTGCTTAAATTTCTATAGGGATCCTTAATATGGTTTAGGGTATATTCCTTAATTAAGGGATATTGGGCTCTTTGGGTCAGTGACATCATGGGATTCCCTACTACCCCCTCTATACTACCTCCCCTACATTCGCCCCTTGAATAACTTTAACTCGGCCAAATAGCCTGAGTTATGGGGGGGAACCTAGGGAGGGTAGTATAGAGAGGGTGATCTGACATGAGCTACCAGGGGGCCGTTGCTTTGGTGAAGTGGCATGTTCAAGGCGAGGTTTGTGTTGAGTGGGTTCCGGGGCGGGTGAGGGTTGAGGGTTTAGGGTTTGGGGTTTCTTTGCCTCACCTCCCTCCCCCACAGGACTTCCCACAAACATGATGCTTCAACAGATTGCCCGAGAACGGGCCATAAGCGAAGGACTGTCTACAACCTCACGTGTTGCGATCTCTCATGCTGTCTTTGTGCGTGACATGAATCCGCCTTTCCAGGCGCAGGGGTTTCCGAGAGTACGGGGTCCCTTGTGTGAACCGCTTTAAAACAGATTGTACTGTACCTGGGGGGAACGTGGGGAGGGGGGGTGAAGGGAGACCAACCCCTAAGAATCTTAACTCCCTAAACCCCTCCCTGCCATACGACCTTCGGGTTTAGGGCTCACCCTCAACCCCAACCCCTACACCCTAAACCCTCCAGTCGCCAGCCCTAAACCCTGAGTCCTAAATTCAGGATCTAAGTTGCGAGAGCCTCAAGCCCAAATGGTACATGGGTTTGGGTTCTTCATCACTAGCATGCCCAAAAGCAGACGTGACAGACAGACAAAGAGAGAGAGAGAGAGAGAGAGAGAGGAAACAAAGGAGAAGAAAAGAAAAAAGACAAAGGACACCTCAATCCTAAACTATACCCTAAACCCTAACCCTTAACCCTAAAAACTAAACCCTAAAACCCTCAACCCTACACCCTAAACCCGCAAGTTCCGGATAAACAGACATTGTGCGTGAGGCACTCAGAACTTGCCACTTCCTAAACCCTAAAACCTAAACCTAAACCCCAAACCCCAAACCCCAAACCCTAAACCCCAAACCCCAAACCCTAAACCCTAAACCCTAAACCCTAAACCCTAAACCCTAAACCCTACCATAGTCTCATATCTTGCTTCGAGGCCCCAGAAGCCCGAAGGCTTCGGACACCCTACCACGGAGAGCCCCAAAATCTCAGGGTATCTTCATGGTCCCTTAGTATGGGCCCTCAAAAGGGGACCCCTTATATACCCCTTATATACCCTGTACACCCCAAGGGCCCATACATCAGAACTCTTTAAAGAGGGTAAGGGACCATATTAAGGGCCCATGAAACGACCCTTAGACAAAAGAGGTTTAGGGTTTAGGGTTTAGGGTTTAGGGTTCAGGGTTTAGGGTTTAGGGTTTAGGGTCTGGGGTCTAGGGTTTAGGGTTTAGGGTTTAGGGTTTAGGGTTTAGGGTTTAGGGTTTAGGGTTCAGGGTTTAGGGTTTAGGGTCTAGGGTCTCGGGTCTAGGGTTTAGGGATGCCCCCACGGAGCAAGAAAAAAAGAAAAACCAACCCTCCAAACCCGACAGGACACGGGGGCCGAAACACCCGAAAAGCAAACAAAAGCCAGACAAAATCCGACAAAACTCGACAAAACTCTGGACAAACCAAGCCTATACAATGTCTACAAACCCTAAGCCCTGAACCCGAAGCCCGAAACGCTAACCCTACACCCACCTTCAAGCTCCCCAAAGAGCCCAAATGCCCCTTAACTAAGGAATCGACCCTAAACCATATTAGGCTTTAGGGTTTAGGGTTAGGGTTTAGGGTTTAGGGTTTAGGGTTTAGGGTTTAGGGTTTAGGGTTTGGGGTTTAGGGTTTAGGGTTTAGGGTTTAGGGTTTAGGGTTTAGGGTTTAGGGTTTAGGGTTTAGGGTTTAGGGTTTAGGGTTTAGGGTCTAGGGTTCAGGATCCCTAGATAAAATTAAGCCATCTTCCCCTAATGCAGGGATCTTGGGGGACATTGGGGGCTCTTGGGGTCGCGGGCCTTCTCGATGATGACCACTCCGCTCCCGCCTGTGCCGCCCGAACCTCCACTGCTGGAAGTCGTGGAGCCGCCACCACCGCCTCCCCCCTTGCCGTCCTTTCTGTTCTACTTTTTTTGGGGGGGTTTAGGGTTTGGGGTTTAGGGTTTGGGGTTTAGGGTTTAGGGTTTAGGGTTTGGGGTTTGGGGTTTGGGGTTTGGGGCTTTGGGGCTTGGGGCTTTGGGGTTTGGGGTTTGGGGTTCGGGGCTTGGGGCTTTGGGGTTTGGGGTTTGGGGTTTGGGGTTCAAGGGCTTTGGGCTGTGGTAGGTCTTGGCTTTAGGCTGCTAGGGCTTTGAGAACTCGCGTTTAGGGTTACGGTTTCTGGTTTGCGGTTCTAGGGTAAACCCTAAACCCCTTGAACAAGGCATGCAACGCGTTCACATCAAGGGTAGTAGATGCACTACACGGTCGTTGGCGACCCAAAGCACACCGCGACATGTTTGACAAAGCAAAATGGCTCACGCGCAAGTCGGGAATGCAGGTCAACATAAGCTGGCTCAAATCGCACGCAGGCACGGAGGGCAACGAGCGTGCAGATCGACTCGCCAACAGGGGCAAACGACTAGCAGACCCGGAGGGAGGTCGTCAACAGCCGTTCCCGGACCACAACGCTAATGCAGAGGCTGCACCGGCGCACACGGCACACCCTGTGACGCATGCCCTACTGGCAGCCGCGGCAAACACACTTTCACATCACCAGCGAATACCGCGCACACCTTGGATGAAGGACACCACTCTTCAAGCTTTAGTGCAAGCTGGTACAGCGGAAGCAGAGGGAACGGAGGAAGCCCGATCACTCTGCAACAGGGCCAAACGTATGAAAAGACCGTACACACTGGGTCCACAACCAAATTCACGGCGACCCCAGTGCGACAAAGTCGCCGGTATGGCCATCCGTTCACAAGGATTTCAGGGGAAACGTTCACACTTATGGGAGGACAACCAACCACAGATACCACAGCCATGGTCCTGCTTACAGGACGAAGGGGACTTCACCGCGCAGGAATTGCAAGCCGCTACACGGAACCTTAAACCCAATGAAGCGCCAGGGCCAGATGAGTTACCAGCGGACGTCTTGAAATTGCTAGACGCGGAAGGGGAAGAAATCATGCTAGACATGTTTAACCGCACCGCAGGATTGGGGGGGAGCCCATAGTAGTCTCGATCTATAAAGGCAAAGGCTCGGACACGCTCCCGAAAACTACAGGCCCAACTCCCTACTTAACACCACATATAAGCTTTTCGCGGCCATGTTACAAAAACGCCTAGCCCAAACCAGTGAACCAATGCTAAGACGCACTCAATATGGTTTCCGACCACAACGCAGTACCACACAACCTTTGTTTATCTTAAGGAGCGCTATGGAGTGGTCTCTTATGACCGACACACCTCTGCGCCTGCTGTTTTTGGATTGGCGTCAAGCGTTTGACTCCCTTGACCACACCGCTATGATACAAGCTCTTAAACTCATGGGTACGTCCGAGAGGATGCTGGCGGTTATCCAATCCCTGTGGGCCCCCCCCCCCTCATCGCTTGCAGAAGCTGCAAACCGATGCCCACCCCCCCCCCCCCCCCCCCGCCCCCACCCACCCCCCCCTCCCCTCCCGCCCCACCCCGCCCCCCGCCTTTAACCTTGCTATGACGAAACTCTCTTTCCTCCTTTCCTGTCCTGGGGCCGGCCCGGCTGCCGAGGCGGCGCACGCAAGCGTTTGCAATTAATAGTGCCAGACGCTTCCCCAACCTGAAGCCGGACCACGACGCAGGCGTACCAGGACCACACCAATTTTATGCAAAGATGGCCCGACATGTGCGAAGTCCCACTTTTGAGCTGGCGCCTAAGCGCGCAACACTGCAGCGCGCACGGCCATAGCAAAAAAACCCTGAGCCCTAAAACCCGAAACCCTAAACCCCAAACCCCGAACCCTAAAACCCGAAACCCCCTGAACCCTAAACCCTCAAGCCTGAATCTCAACCCTAAGCCCTAAACCCCTAAACCCTAATAGCCCTAAACCCTAAACCCTAAACCCTAAACCCTAATAGCCCTAAGGCCCTAAACCCTGAAGCACCAAGGTGATGGCCCATTGCGGTCCTTGCCATTGGCTCCAGAGTTCTTCCCGCCAGGCGTCCCGCACTTGCCGCCGCCGCCTTTTCCGGCCTGCGGCATATGTTGGGGTTTAGGGCTTAGGGCTTAGTTAGGGTTTAGGGTTTAAGGTTTGGGGTTTAGGGTTTAAGGTTTAGGGTTTGGGGTTTAGGGTTTCGGGTTTAGGGTGTAGGGGTTGGCCCCTGAGCCTCTAGACCCCACACCCTCCCCAGAACAGGCCGCTTGCACCGAAAGCTTGAACCCTGAACCGTCAGTTGTCGAGGCAAAACACACGGGGCCCGAAACCCAGAGCCGGTTTAGGGTTTAGGGTTTAGGGTTTAGGGTTTAGGGTTTAGGGTTTAGGGTTTAGAGGGTTTAGGGTTTAGGGTTTAAGGTTTAGGGTTTAGGGCGTACACCTACCACATGTACAGCCAAGGCCCCCCCTCCCTGACCCCTAAGCCCTCAACCCTCAAACCTTAAACCCTAGACCCTAAGCCCCAAACCCTAAACCCTAAACCCCAAACCCCAAACCCTAAACCCCAAACCCTAAACCCTGCCAGCTCGAGGCCTCCCCGCCGGAGGAGCACGCTGGATTGTGGGAGCCGCCTCCACCACCCCCAGCATAGAACTCACACGTTCCGGTGAGGCACGACCTTCTACACAAGGGAGGTGAAGTTGTTAGGGTTTAGGGTTTAGGGTTTAGGGTTTAGGGTTTAGGGTTTAGGGTTTAGGGTTTAGGGTTTAGGGTTTAGGGTTTAGGGTGTAGGTTTTAGGGTTTAGGGTTTAGGGTTTAGGGTTTAGGGTTTAGGGTTTAGGGTTTAGGGTTTAGGGTTTAGGGTTTAGGGTTTAGGGTTTAGGGTTTAGGGTTTAGGGTTTAGGGTTTAGGGTTTAGGGTTTAGGGTTTAGGGGTGAGGCATGCCCCCCTTCTACGCAAGGGAGGTGAAGTTGGTGGGCCCTATGGTAGTCCCTTAAGGGCCCAGATAGGGGTCTGGGAGTTGAGGGTTTGAGGCTCAGGGAGGGTTTGTTTAGGGTTTACGGTTTTGGGTTTAGGGTTTAGGGTTTAGGGTTAAGGGTTTAGGGTGTAGGGGCTTTTTTTGGGTTGAGGGTTTAGGGCATTTGGGGTCCCTGAACCTTCCCATCGACGTTCACAACGTTGCAAAAAGAATCTTTCTGAGAGAGGAACAAGGCACTCCTTTCCCAGACCTTGGTGATGCGCGGGCTGGGATGGGCCCTAAAAACCCTAAACCCTAAGCCCCTAAACGCCTAAACCCTTGGGGTAAATTGAAATCACCGTAGGCTCTGAAGATGAACCCCTAAACCCTGTTGTCCATAAAGACTGATAACAATCCAAATATAGTTTGGGGCAGGTTCCTTGACTGAGGGGTTTGTCATCTGCGGCCCGACGGGTACCCTAAATCCTAACCCCTAAACCCTAAATCCTAAACTCTAAACCTTGCTCATGGCCAGGTACCGCCGTTGCCGCAGTGCGACGAAGTACCGGATTCGCCCACGCCGCCGGCACCACCGCCGCCGCCTGCATTCCAGGTGCCTGCGAGGTGGTAGGATTCTGAGGGTTTTTGAGGGTTTAGGGTTTAGGGCTAGGGTTTCGGGTTTGGGGTTTAGGTTTAGGTTTTGGGAGGCTTCACTTTCGGGCTCTATGGAAGGTTTAGGGGCGGGCTTGGAGGTTATAGGGTCGAAGGAGGCTTGACAACCCCAGAATCTACTTCTTTGTCGCCCTGTAAACAAATTGAACATATGTTCCGGGCTTGGGGGTTCAGGAACATGCAAAGTACCCCAAAAGCATACCCAAACAAAACCCTGGAATCCAAACCCCAAATCAACCTTAAACCTCAAACCCCAAACCCCTAAATCCACGTCTCAGAGGGTGATGTGAGCCCTCGCAGCAAAATCAGGGGGTCGGCTTTAGGACTTGGGGTTCAGTCCCTGAAACGCTCATCCTAGCTTCAGGGCTTCGGGCAACACAGCTTTTGAACCCCAAACCCACCTAAACCCTAAACCCTAAACCCTAAACCCGAAACCCGAAACCCTAAACCCTAAACCCTAAACTTAAAGAGAGCCGGGTTGGTTCCGCCTTCCGTGCCAGACCCGCCATTGAAGCCAAAGCCAAACTTCCCGGATTTCCCGGATTGCGACTTCTGCGTGGCCTGTTTGGGGCTCGGAAGGTTTAGGGTTTAAGTTTAGGGTTTAGGGTTTAGGGTTTAGGGTTCAGTCAGGATTTAGGGTTTTAGGGTTAGGATTTACGTGTGGGGGTCTGAGAGCGAGTTGTGCTTGCAGGTTCTTGCGCTTCGTCAGCATGAACCCGACAACCCCTTCCCCATAGAAGGCCGCCACACTATGCCCCGAAACACCACACCCCTTAAGGGGCATAATCTTATTCCCCTACGTAACCCCTATGTATAGATGTATATATGTATATATACCTTGTATAGTCCCTATATACCTAAGTAGCCGCCAAATAACCCCTACACAACCCCTAAGGTCCCTTGTAAGGGTCCCTCCTTTTCGTCCCTTGAACCCCCCAGCGTCTAGTGGGCCTTCCCGCCGTCGTGGCCATACTTGCCACCGCCGCCGCTTCCGCCGTCGTAGCCCTGCCATGTCAGCGTCCCAAGGAGAACTCTGTGGGTTCCCCGAAACCCTAAACCCTAAACCCTAAACCCTAAGCCCTAAACCCTAAACCCTAAACCCTAAACCCTAAGCCCTAAACCTTGAGTCCACCCTAAGCTTGGGGCCCAGTAAGCCTGACCCAAACCACAAAAATGAAGGCTTTGGGGACTGTTGTCGTCGGGGTCCTCAAGTTATTCCCAGACATTCCGTCTTTTCCAGGCCCTCTCGGCGGCAGATTTGCCCCCGGAGGCGTTTGCCGAATTGGTCGGCAAGTTCCTATCTAGGTGGCGGCCAGGCCAAATTTGCCGAAACAGCCGCCGCCCACCCCCCCAACCCCCCCACCCCCCCCCCCCAGAGGGTAGAAGGCCTGGATTTAGGGTTAGGGTTTAGGGTTTAGGGTTTAGGGTTTAGGGTTTAGGGTTTTTTAGAGTTTAGGGTTTAGGGTTTAGGGTTTGGTTTAGGGTTTAGGGTTTAGGGTTTAGGGTTTAGGGTTTAGGGTTTAGGGTTTAGGGTTTAGGGTTTAGGGTTTAGGGTTTAGGGTTTAGGGTTTAGGGTTATCAAGCCCTCAGGGTTTTAGGGTTCCTGGATTTAGGGTTTTAGGGTTCAAGGCCTAGGGTTTAAGGTCGAGGGGTGGTTTCCTAATGCTATGGGATCCAAAGGGCGGATGGGTAGACATTCGATACCGGGTAGCTTGCTTGACGAATGAATGCTTAGACTTGAACCCCCTAAACCCTAAACCCTAAAACCCTAAAACCCTAAACCCTACACCCTAAACCCTAAACCCTAAACCCTAAACCCTAAACCTTAAACCCTAAACCCTAGCCTTTTTGGTGGAGGGGCCCTTTAAGGCTTTGGGGAGCCGATGAGGTGCAGCCCCGCCTTCCTCTGGTGGTCGCTGCCTCCGCCGCCGCCGCCCTTCGCCTTTAGGGTTTAGGGTTTAGGGTTTAGGGTTTAGGGTTTAGGGCTTAGGGTTTGGGGTTTAGGGTTTAGGGTTTAGGGTTTAGGGTTTACACTCCCCTAAACTTACATGGAAACTACGTGCATGATTTGGTGCAACTAACATAGCTACGGTTACCCGATTTCGACCCCTAATTTTCCCCAATAAAAGCGATGGCGAGGACCCCTCCGGAAAATTGTATATTAGTGTTTATGCTGGGGTTGATGGGGTATTTTCCTGGAATTTTAGCAGCAGGCTGATGTGCTCAGGTATGCACACAACTTCCATGTTAGTGGTAAATAACTCCGAAAACAGGCATGAAA